GAGAGAGAGATGGAGAGAGAAAGAGAGAGAGAGAGATCTTGCATATTGTCGTATTAACACGAGACAAACAATTCATGATCACATCTTAATATATACATTAAAACAGGATGCTACCCATCACATGAAGTATAGGATTAACACCAGTACATAGACCAGCACGTGTGTCAGGACATGTATGGTTCTTGGAGGTTCTGGAAGGAAAACCAGCAGTATAGCAAAATGTAATTTAAATGACTGGAATTACTCAATCAAAAAATAGAATTCAAATAGTTTACTTTTAAAACATCTGTGAAAAAACATATACATACATCAACTTGCAAAGTGAAAGTCTGGGTAAAGTCTAAAGAGTTTATTTCTATCTAAGGAATCCGGAAAAGCTGGGGGAAATCTTGGTGTTCGGACAGGAAACCCCGTAAATTTCCTGTCTAATCCGGAAACCAGTCGTCAAGGTATAAGGTGATTGAGCTACCACAGCGCCACCTACCGACGATTTTAACTGATCCGTAAGATTTAGGATTTAAGTCATTCTCTGCCTCTCGTTTGCGACACTTGTATTGACCAAGATTTACATAACATGTGTCGTTGATGAAGCAGACAACACTTTCTCTTCCGGAACACCTGGTTTTAATCTGTCTGTACTTTTTTCGGGAATCTTCGTGTAACTATTTCTTTTATTCATATTATGCCCTAGCTTTATTGAATTTACGTTTAGTTCAATATTTTGTTAATATGTTAGTATCTTGTTGGTTTTGTAGTATTTACGAAACTAATAATTAAACCAAGATCTCAATATAGTTATTTAAAAATGCAAATATAATTCAAATACATTCCTCATGACTGTAAGGCATTGTGTCTTTCGATGAATATTGCAATAGCAGACTTCCCTTCCGGTGTTGTTTAAGAGATGATGATCGTCTTCTAATATAATGTTACGTGTCCACGTATCCCATTATTGTCTCCCTGTATTTTCCAGGACGTTGCCTTCTTCTTTTTGCTATCGACATTAGTATTTTTCCCCAATTTTACGTCACACATAATGATGATGATGATTTGTTTAACGGCTGATCAGTATGGTCTCCAACTGCCGACTCCAGACATCGTAACGACCTGACTAGAACTGTGGGAGGTGTGAAAGATGAAGCTCTTTCTATTTATAATTGCTTTTCTCGAACCCTCCTGGGCTCGATGTATGTTCAGAAAAAAGACCTGCTGTCCGTGACCGCTAGCTTTACTATTTTCTTGGACAATAAGACCGGAAGTTTAATGCTAAACGCCAGACGTCAACAGCAGTAATATATTCGTTCAATTCCGGTTTCTGTCCCTCTCTGTGGTCTCTCTCTCCTTCTCTCTCTCAACCACCCGCACCAGTTATCTCTCTGTCCCTATTTCCCCTCTCTATGTAACATTTCTGTCTGTCTGTCTGTCTGTCAGGCTGTATGTCCGTCTGTCTGTCTCACTCATTCGATTTCTCCTCTCTGTTTTCTTTTTTATCCATTTGTTCTATAAATGCATTAGAAGGACATATATGTATTCAATGAATGAGTTGTTTTTGTTGATTTCCATTTATTTGTAAGTTGTGTGTTCCTGAGACGAATCATCGCGTACTTTTTTGCCTTGTGTCAATTTCCATTCAAGCTGACGTCTTTGTTATTTAATTGGCGCATTAACACAATAAGCGAATTATCCTCTGGTTTCAAGCTTTCCAGTGAACGTATGCATTAGAACAGTTGAAAAATTCAATCAATCACTATCGGTAATTCACTAAGATCAGGGAGATTTATCTGCGAACTCAGACGACAGAGGACGTTCTTCGTGTATCAACATTGTCCATCTGACAACAGAGTGCGCTCTTCATGGTCATTGACAACGTGTGTCTGACACCAGGTGGCGCTCTTCACAATGATATAATATTGGATCTGAAATCAAGAGACATTTTAAGCTGTTACAGATTCTAGTCGTGTTGTCAAGTTTGAAAATAGATTCTAAACTCTCCTTCCCTAGAAATATAACGCTACATCATTCATCATTTGGGCCTTAGTAAAAAATGAAAAATATTATGCACTTAAAGAATTATGCACCCTCGGGATAAATCTGTCGGTACTTGTGATGATTTGTCTAGTTCTTAATCATACAAATACACCGAGACATATCGCTTATGTTATCTTCTTTTTTTCATCAGATATTTTTTAATATATAAATTTTCATATGATTCATATTAAGATAATAAAATGCTATATACAGGATGACGTCAATCTCAATCCCTAACATACGTCATTATGATTTACAAGCATCACCGTTTGACCTCAATTTTGGTGTAACGTTTCACTACAACTTGTTCAAAAGTTGGTTAGCGATACTCAAGGGTCAGTGAAAATATTTAAACATGAGTTTAAAACAAGTAAGAAAATTCATTATCATTTCACAGCTGTATGTGTGTTAAGACTGGTCAGATTGATGCAGTTTGAGTCTTAATTAAACATTTAACGCTATTGTTTGGTCAGTGGCAGTTACCTACATTTTCTCTAGTCACAGGTTAACTCTGACTTAACTTTTTGCACCGCGGACCTACTAATGTTGTACCCTATGGCATGTCTGGTCAGAGATAAGTAACCTATTACGAAATATATATATTTCATTTGATAAAAAGATGAACGGATATTTCTGGAAGTGCAAAATATAAATACACAGGCTGTTTGTACTGGAAACGAAATCGAACAAAGTTAATTTCACTGTTGTGGTTTTTTTCTGTGTTGTTCATGTTATTTAAGACACATGTCTGTCATTGCCTATTTCATCAAACTTCTATAAAGTGATACTGTTATTATACACTGGATGCGCACGACATTTTCTGCTAAAAATACAATTCAATACACAGACACAGACACGTATTTGTAATGGTTTGCTAGCCGCCTCGTCTATAAAAGTAAATATCTGTCCGTTCTTTTATGCGAACGTAATGGTTCAGTTGAGAATATTTTTCCTGATACATATTCTAAACCTACGTATTATCTTTAGTAATTACACAACACTGATACAAAAAGCTATATGTTTGTAGTAACTAGAAATGTCCCTTGTCTATCGTTCCAACCACCTGCTAGACGTCGAGGTCAAATTTGCTTGTATTCTTCTGCTATAAATTTGTCGCCGACCAACCATTTCTTGTTCAGAACTGTTTTCTAATACTGCTATATCCACAAACACGATCGGAATTAATCTAATATCGTCTTTCGTAGGTCAGGAACGGGCAATTTCAGCGGTAGTTCTCTCCTGAGACCCATTCCCCGTCTAAATGTAAGATGGTTGTCAGATTGAGCCGGACACACCAGTCGCAAGTGACGGGTTTGTGTTCACACAGCAACATTGATTTAATTGTGACTATTTGGTAGACGTATATCGATCACGTCCTCTCGAATTCGTCAGAAATAACTGCTCGCATATATGTCTACATCAGCTTGTTTTCTTTTAGTAAATGAAATGAACAGACACGTCAAAGAATTGTAAACAAAGAAATATTGACAACAAACTATTAAAGCTTTTGAGTAAATGAAATGGCCGTCATTTTGAAGGAAACTTAATTTTGTAGAACATAAATCGTCACTGGAGATATACAGGATACTGGTGAAAAGTCACATTCCATTCATCTTGATTTGATGACAAAGTGATTTTTTTCAAACGGCTGATAAGACTCGTTATTGAAGTGAAAAAATATATATGTATATGGAAAGCAAATTGTCATAGAAAAACACTCTTTACATAATTGGAGGGTAACATTATAAGCTTTTAATTCACGGGAGGCGACTAATGTGCCCCCACTTACGCATCGTGGATTTACTGGTGTGTTTGACGTCGATCAGTGACGCACACCCTCGTCACGTCGATTGGATATTGTTAATCATATTCACTGATAGTGATTCTGTTGGGTATTAAAACATTCTCAATTGAATACTGTTTGCTTGTCTTAGGTCCTGAGTTCGAATCCACGATAACCCAGCTGTAGCTATGACTTTACTGAGTTTACGGTACAACTGGTACTAAACTAATGGTTTTTAGATAATTAATAGTTTGAGTGAATGAATGTTATGTCTTACAGTTATTGTTTCCAAACCCGTAACAATTTATGCTAGGTTATAGAAATAAGTTTGAGGAATATTACCGCAGTTTAAAAACATGATTTAAAACCTTAACGTTTGCGTTGTTATTACCACTTTCTTATTCAGTTAAATTGTAATGGGCCAATAAAATCCACAATTAATTTTACATGGCGGGGTTCGTCGATGAAGCAAAAGGCGCTGATCCCTCCGAAACACCTGGGGCCTGTAACTAGAAGACCCCTTAATACAGTTTGCCTTAACATTACCTTTGTGTGTTAAGGTGTAACTAGAAGGGATCTTAAGTATACCGCTAAGGGTATAACGGTAAAAGATACAAATAACTGTACATCTCCCCTTAACGCTGACGTAAAGGAATCTTACGATTGCCTTAACTAAGTGGGTAACTCGATGTCCTCGTTAGTCCAAAGAGTAAACAAAGGTCACCTTAGGCATTTTTAACGGATTATTTCCTGTAACTAGAAGCTCTCGTTCGACTTTGTGCTTGCCCTTAAGCTAAGGAAACTACTAGGCTACCTTAGAGTAAACAAAATGTCGATTTTAGTCCTTCTGAACCGCGATCAGGACGTTCCGAGAGGTTTATTTCGCGACAGAAGAAAGCCGCTGGATTACCTGAGCGATGATGCAGTTATTTCAGACTATCGCTTAGACAGACGAACAATTTATGAGCTGTGTAATACTTTTGAAGAGGAACTCGAGAGACCTACCATGAGAAGTATGTCTCTTCCAGTTTCACTTCAAATCATGATTGCATTAAGATATTTTGCTAGTGGTGGTTAAATGTCGGTAATCGGTGACGCACATGGAGTCAGTAAAATGACAGTATCTCGAACAATTAAAACCTTCACTGGTTTGATTACTTTGCATTTGGACAAATATATAACATTCCCCATGGATATACCGGAACAGCTGAAGGTTAAACTAGATTTCTACAATATCCGTGGATTTCCAAGTGTCTTGGGAGCTGTAGACGGTACTTTGATACCCATTGAAACACCTTCCATTGATGAATACCACTATGTTTGTCGAAATGGATTTCACGCCTTGAACATCCAAGGAGTGTGTGACGCTAACCTGAAATTTCTCAATATTGTGGCAAAATGGCCTGGTTCAACACACGACTCATTTAGATGGACAAATTGTGGTCTCTCTGCTGCGTTTGAAGACAAAGAAATGACTGGAGGATGGTTGTTGGGTGACAGTGGTTACGGCTTGCGACCATGGTTACTTACTCCAAAATTGAATCCAAGAACCCCCCTCCCGTACAGAAAGTATAATGTCTGTCACAAATCTACACGCTGTGTAATTGAACGTGCATTTGGGTTATGGAAGATGAGATTCCGCTGTATCTACCGACCACTTCATTTGGCAACGGAGAGAGCAGTTGCTGTTGTGATTGCAACCGCAATTTTGCACAATAGAGAAAAATCTCCCTTTGCCCGAGATCGACGACATGGATGATGATGACAACGACGAGGCAATCTACAACCTCGATGATAACGACAGTGGGATTAACGTAAGGGAACTACTAATTAACAGGGTGTTTTCTTGATTTAAACTTTATTTCAAAAACAAACATTGTCTTTTATAATTTATGAAAACGTAATCAAGGACACAAGTTCTTACAAACATTTCAAAAAGTATTCACAATAAAGATTCAAAAATATATAATTATTTAGTTATTTATACCAAGCTACTTTGCTTGATAGGAATATCAATATCACAAAATGGACTTTTTTAAATACAAATAAATCTACCTTACTGTTTTAATGATCAAACGTTGACGTCATTGTTTATTATGAGTATGACATAATTTGCTCGGTGATAGAATTACTACACAGTTGTATACAGTTTTACGCGTACTAGATTATTGCTTTTAACATTTCACCAACCTCTGTACATCGAATGTCTCATTGATGTCGCCACTGAAGCCGTGTACTACTGTAACTCCAAGAACCTCAATCGCTTTATCCCCTAGTTCACTCAGTTCATTTCCGTCAATTGTTCCGCCATCTGTTTTAGCTCTTTCTCTCTTCAGTTTGGCCTCTTGACAACACTGGCCCAATTTTGCCACTTCTTCCCGACATCTTCTACCGTTCTGAGACTGTTGCTTACCACGTTGACTGCTTTAGTAAGATTCACCCATTGTCGTTTGATACTGTGTCAGAAAATTTACCAAGTATAACCTCCCTGTTGTTCATCACTCCTTCTACTAATGCTGTAAGTTCAGTCACAGAGAAATTGGGTTTTCGCACTCGCTTATTGGAAGCCATGTTGTTGATGTATCCAGATAGAAATACAATCAGTTGAAAGCTTTGATAAATTCTCTGCGTCCTAAAACGCACAAAAGATTCAGAGCAGGTAAAATTCATTGTAGGAAAGAAACCAACACCCGGACTCCGGAAATTTCTCCCTTATCGTTCTCGCAAAATCTTGTCTTAAGGGATTGTTACGAGATATAAAAATTCTCCAAAGGGAAAGTTAGTGGCTCGTTAAGGGACTTTCGAGTTACACCCATATTTTTTATGTAACGTCCCCTTAAATTGTTCCCTTACCCTTAGTGTTAAGGTGGTTTTCTAGTTACAGGCCCCTGGACTTGTTCTCCCTGTGCTTACTCATGTAAATTTTTTGTTAAGATTTTGTTGAATTAAGATTATGTTTACATGTCAGTATTTCCATTTTCAATAGTCGTATTATAATCATTCTAGGAAAAGATATATATATATATATACACGGTTGATTATTAAGCAAGTCGATGACATGACATTTTTTTTTTACTTCCACGTAGCACTTTACACCCGATGATTCCTCTTAAGAGTACGTTCACTGTCTGTCACGTAAAAAAACTCGAAATGATCAGGTTACATTTCCCCCGTATTCCCGTGGCTGCTATTAAGATTTCCTGAAATCGATATGTGTGTACTTTTATCTATATTGTAATAAGCATTACATACCTCAGTTTAAAGAAATGCCTTAAGGGGGTATGCTGCATTTTCAGTTTCTGTAATGACCACACGGTGCTAGTTCTACACTGATTATGGCGGAAAAATACATACGGGAACTAACCTCCCCAAACCAAAAAAAACCGCATATTGTCATGTGGTGAACGGATGTTTTCAACAGCTAATGAAAAGGATTTCAGTCATCACTAGACGTTCCATCTTAATTGTGATGAAATGTTGGTCGTATTTACTCTTATCTTTAGCAAGAACCGGAATACACTGGTGTACCTATATGCCACTAGTGTGACTTAAAGCTACGTAATTAAGTAAATATTGTGTCACAGTTACAGATCTGTTTTAACATTACAATGGTGGCTTAGTTCGGCTATTTCGCTTTATCGCGTCGGCTGGGGCGCAAATGAGACAATACGACACGGTAACAACGCGACAAAAATAATATATACATGTATGTCGCGTTGGCGGTATGCTTTTGGTGAATTGTCGCCATGGAGGTGTACTTTTGTCGCAATGTCGCGTAATGGCCGAAATCAGTCTCCACAATTTACACTGAATTTTCTTCGAGCATTATTCGAAGTTACGGATTATGTCAGGACGACTTTCTGGCGAGGAAGAAAAATATTTTTGTCGTTACGAAGAATTTTATAGTTAACAATGAGACATAATTTCATTGAATAAATTCATGCCGAAGAAATACCGTTACAACATTGTGTAGGTCCTTTCTTAATTTTGTTTGCTTATTGGGTTTATCGCCCTGTGAACAGCCAGGATAATTCTGTGCCTGTGTCCCCTGATAGCAGCTGGTTACTGCCTGATTGAACACCACACGGGAGGCCCGTCGCAAGTTATTCTAAGCAACAGCCCAAGGACATAACCACGTCAGTGCTGTCCGATCTGCTTCCCTGAGAAAAACAAAACTCCGTGGATAGTAGTTTCGAACTACGCACCCCGGATCTTCACCTTAGGTTACATTGGCCAACGGTCTACCGACCGAGCTATTGCTTGGTTCTCCTGGCTAAAAGTTAAGATGTACAGTAGATCAATATACTAATAGAAGGTACGAATATGGTAGCATAACGGCTCATCAAGACTCAGGTCTTCAAATATCAATCATTGCACAGAAATGTAGACATATTCTGACCAAAATGACCGAAATGACCTGTCGCGTTAAGTTTCCAATGTAACGTGACTCGGGGACACCCCATTTTTTTCCAAAAGGTAAACATCGATAAAACGTCTCCGATGGGAAAAGTCTCGCAAATGAGACGTTGAATCGAACTGGAATTGTAGTCGGTATCATATAGACGCTTTAGTTATGATCCAATTGGTGTCAATCATTCGAGCGACACTTCTCTGATTGAGCCGGAAATTATATACCAGAGATCATGTTCCGGTTCTGTCTGTTATAGTTGTTTACGAGCGAAAGGCTAGGCTGTCGCCCGAACACTGCTTATAAAGCAGTTTTGTATTTCTGGAGCTTTTATATATAAAAAAAAAAAAACAAGATGCTTTATACAGTTAGTAACACCAACTTAAACTCCAACTCTTTCAAATTAAGAATATTTTTTACATTTGTTGATTCTAATTAATAAAATGATCCCGGGATAATTAAAGACAGTATGTGTTGTTGCTGCTGGTAACGTATTGGAGTGATTTTAGGTAACATGTCATTTTTTTAATTGAGCATACAGAAAGTTTTTTTTTTATAATTTCCGACATAAATCATTCAATTCTTGTGTCCGATGAAGTAGGGGTAAGATAAAATCAATAGATAAATAAAAAAACAGGTGATAAACTCATTATCCTAAAATAATTATCAATCGTTTCAAAAGGATTGCTAGAATTGAAATGTTTTTACTTCCGTGCTGAATAAATGTAGATAAAAAGAAAAGCATTTATTCTTTAAATCTTCCTTATAACCTGGCTTCCTGATGCGTGTCTGGTAGGGGTACATATGTCCTTATACACCCAGTATCGCTTTGAGATTTAACCAGATTCGTGATACAGTTCTAAGTTAACCTTTAAATCCTATAACTGTTTTATCAAGCTGTACTTAAGATGAAGACTCCTCTCACCATAAAACAGATGTTGACTTTAATCTGACTAAATCTCTGGTAATACTGTGATGTAAGAAAAATTCGACATTCTGATAAATGTTATCTACAAATCTAATCATTTTATTTTGTCTGCGGGAACTCCGATTTAACACGCTGAATTATATATTGTTACAGTTAAAAGACAAGTCAGACTCCCCCCCTCCCCACACCCCTCCTCCCCCCTTCCAACCTCCCAATCCCACCCCCTTACCTTCACTCCCCTTAAGATACAACCCTCATCCCTCATATTTCTTACGTCAGAGCAAAGATTCGTCCAACAAATCGTAGCGTCTGATCAGACAAAAAAGACAATTTTAAGTCACAATGATCACGTGCAATCTACCTTAACCTAGTGAAATCATTATTTTTGTTTGTGTATACAAATATACCATACATGTATTTATCAATTTATTTTGTATTCTGCGAAAGACGGGCGATAATTTATTCATTAATTTATTCGTTTATGTTTTAATTTCATTCAATGTTTATTAATTAAGTTCCTATTTTCACTTCATTGATAATGTATTTTTAGATTATCTACTGAATTAGAACTAAAACGAAACAGTATAAAACTGACAGTCTTTAACCAAGAAATTCGTTTTACTCGAATTCGGACCATGAAGCACATCACGTAGCTTGCTATATGTTTAACCTTCAGTATGTTTATGCCTTTTATGCTTATGAACTCATGATTAAGGTTTCAATTCAATTTAATTTTAGATTTTAAAATGTAGAATTTATGTGTTGAGCGTTTATATGTTCACACATACAAAAATAAAAGACGACAGAGTTAACAGTGGAGTTTTAAACGCTGTAATCAAAAGTCATAACATTTAGTCTCTTTTATTGTGTAAACAATATCTCCCTCTATACATAAAATACCATTGGTTTAACTGTTTGCAGCTGAGAGCAGTTCATCACGAATATTTTATGTCCCATGTTAAAGTCGATGATACAATAGATGTAAGCTATATTCTGTCTCCCTTAGATAGAAAGGTCAAATATATATATTTCTCGATTTTATTGCCGTACTGTGTGTACATGAGATGCATGTTGACGATGATTATCGGAAAGTTTTATGGTCTTCAGTTTTATTCTGTTTCTTTATGAGCTATCACGCTAGACGTGTTTGGTGTTTCTTATTTTGTCTATAGGTTCCGTTATTTTATACCTTCTCATCATTTGAGAACGTGACATTACTTACTTGGATTGACCAGGAGTTTCATGGCGGGTGTCGTCGATGAAGCAGAAGACGCTTACTATTCCGGATCCTGTTGTCAAAAATTCATTTTTGTTTGTTTGTTTTGTTCGTTTGTTTTATTCATTTTTTATTCAACCTGCTAGATACAGACCGTGTTCTGACGTGTCTTATTGTCCGTGTTCTTCTTTCTGTCTTTTCATCTCT